TGTAGAAATGAGTGCCATATTCGTCATGAGCACCCCCAAGTACCTCGAAAATGATACCCATATTGCATTTATTTCAAAACTCGTGTCCGCCATCTTGGATTTAGAAATGAGTGCCATATTCGTAACGAGCATCCCCAAATACCTCGAAAAGGATACCCATATAGCATATTTTGAAAAATCGTGTCCGCCATCTTGGATTTACAAATAAGTGCTATATTCGTTTTTCATCGACAAAACCGAGCATATCTGTAGGCACCTGATCGACAATGTCGGGCAAATCTGTAGGCACCTTTAACTTAATGATGAGTTAGCAAGATACAATTTCCCCACTTTTGAGGGAAATGTTATTCCATGGCATCATTATTTGTATATTTGTGTGCGTGCCGACGAGCGTAGTTACAAGTTGCTTACGCCTACATGAATTTGGTTTTTGCCTCACTTGTGACAGTTCGTTTGATATGAAACTATCATTCTATGCGTTATTATTCTAAGCCTGCAGCAATATTCAATAATCATTGCTAATATGGACTGTAATTTATGTAAAATATATGATTTCATAATTTTATGAAAAATTTTCACTTTGTTGCGAGTAGTAGAGTGTGTGTCAGATAAGTTCATGAGTTCAACTTTTCACTATTTAGGAGAGTTAACTTTTCTAAATTTGTTCTGGCCTGGGTGTTCTGGGTACTGCTTTTTGGTGTTAATTTCATCATACTAGTATTCCTTAAGTTCTTTTTATGATTATTAATTAAGTATTATATTAGATATTTAGTACATATAAATACATGCCCAGATATACATACACTTACAACAAAACATACTTAAAATCGTTTTCCAATGTAATTAAAACTAATTAAACATCATTTTTGCTTTATTTTGTAAGTAACAAGTAAGTTTAAGTACACGTATCGTCTTGTCTTGGGCTTTTGTAATTGTTTGAATACACGTGTCTTCCTGTCTTGTGCCTAACTTTCTTACATCTACTTGGAAGTGTAAGGCTGAGAGCCTGGTGTTCTATAACACAGGTTAATTAATCCTAGTATAGACACCAGACTTTCACGAACGAAACTAAATTCAAGAACATGTGAGGACCATAAGTATCTATAAGTATGAGATTCTTTCGAACATTTTCAATTTAAATTCGTATTATTTTTATGATTTTCATCTCACCTGACGCAAAGTGACGATGAGGTCGACGATGGAGCATGCACACCTAAGTAATGCCTATTCTACTCCTTGAAAAGACCCAAGTTATAACATTCAGGGAACAAGTCTGCAGGCAGGGGATTCCACTCCACAAAATAACATACGAATGTGGAAGCGTAACGCTTCTTGCAAATCTTTGGAATATCGATAACATAGAGCTGGAACCCCAGCCTACGCCTAGTCCCCCGATGACGGAAAGGGGAAGGCAGAATTAAATCGTGTAATTCCATCGCACACTCTCCGTGATATATCCTGTAAAATACCGATAAGCAGGCAACTTTACGGCGGTGTTCAAGGTTCAGCAGCTTCGCTTCTACTAATTCCGAGTCACCTATAAGCCTCTTGGCACGGTTGTCAATTGAATCCAAGGTAGCCAGTTAGTATGTAGCAGAGCCATCCCAAAGGTGGCAGCGGCCACGTGCTATGTGACTATTAAAGTTAGTATAGTTAAAGGGATATAATAGTCCGTCTGATTGGCAGAAATGAGAAGCGCCGAAATTACGTTGCAGATTTCGGCCGTTACATTTACATGTCAATATTTTGTAAACGCAATTAAACGGCATTGATTAAAAATATTTTTTTATTTTCAAATTTCCTTATAATAATGTGGGGCCACTTCCAGGAGCCACTCCTTCTTGATAGTCATCATATCTCGCATGTACGTTTTGTCGCCTGTACTTTGGACGCTTGCGAACACCACCCTGTAGATTAAAACTTAATTCATTATTACCAATGATTATACTTGTAAACAGTAGATGCGCAATCTGCGCCTCCAAACGGTAGCCACGGTACTGTTGCCTGCAGGCAGCAGTGGCATCAATCACCATCTTGGATTCGAGTGAGTACCACGTCACCGAGACGTGACAAAAAAGTAAAAAAATGGTGAAATGTGTAATTAAAATTTGCAATTCTCAGTTCGAAAATGATAACAAAACTACTGGCGTTACTATCCACAGGTAAGTTGCTTTTGTTTGTTTAGATTGTCGTAAATAAAAATGAAATAAATTTATTTTAAACATCAATGTTGCCAGTAAATCAATTTTCATTTGCCCATAATATTGGGAGTTAACCTCATTGAAGTTACTTTTGACATCGTAGTCAAAAGTGATTCTAATTCAAGTTTATTCGTTGTAACATTTTAACGTCTTTACCGTCTTTCGTAACCGTAATACTATTAAAATGATATTTTGTTTGTTTCCCAGAACATCTAAAGATCGTACGCGCAGGGCGAATTGGACAAAAATTATACGACTTTTACGAAAATATATTTTGAGTAACAACACACAAGGCAATAGTACCACAAGCTAATGAAGCAAAGTGGCGTTTAAAAATTTGTAATATAAAACTATAGTTAAATGTTTGTGTATCAAGTAAATTGTAAGACCTTTTTAAATTTGTTTTCGTTAAATAAAAACAGAAACTTTGTCGGAAGACAGTATTTTTATCACCTTCATTCAATAAATAAAAATTACTAGAAAAGCAATTAATTCCTTAGAATAGAAAGTCGTCTCTTCATATTCACAATTTATTTGAAAAAACTATGAATTTCAAGCGTAGACTCTAAAGTTCATAAATTTTCACGCGCTCGTTCATTTCTGACTCATATCTCCACTGTCTCTTTCCACCAGTGAGGCTACAAGAAATTAGGGATGATTATTTCTAAACCGGTAACACTAGTATCCCTTAATGCACTATGACTATTTCATTTTGACATAATAAGACAAAAAAACGAGACAAATATATTTTTCTTTGAAATTTTAATCAGTTTCAAAGCTAGTTTTTAAATTTACTAAGTGGTCCCACATTTTAGACATCTTTTTGTAGGACATTGCGTCTCTAATATTATTTATGCTCACTGATTATTACCGTCAAATTTATAAGTCTCTTTTATTTTGATGGGACGAATTTAAGTCGTGTGCCGGGTGGTAAGCTACACGCCTGTCCATAACGGGTCGAGATGAATGATGAATGAACCCTTCAAATGTCATTTTACTCCGTTTAAAAAAAACAGACTAGACTGTCGCGAAACGCACGCACACACACACACGCATTTTGGTACCATACTTGATTTTCCATAAAATATAAATATAATCTTTGTTAAATTAAATGATAACTGTCACTGGTAATAGAAGACTGTCTGAGATGATGAGTGGCGTCTCTTTAGACACGGTTCTGGCAGAATGTCAGCGACGTGGGAAACCGCTACATTTATGCTGAGACATCGTCTTTTCACTGCCATGACTTCCAAAACCATTTACTTTAATTAGTTAAAAGTGTAGACATACGTTCCTTTTGTTATAAAAATTTGTTATTTTAAGTGGTTCAATATAATAATAATTGTGGTGTTAGTTTTACTGGATCCTATGTAAATAAGTTGTCATGGAAGTGAATAAAGTTTTTATCTATCTATCTAAAAAGGTACATGTATTTACCATTTTGGCTGCTGTTGGTTGTACAAACAGCTGTCAGGACTTATATGCAACACGGCGCCCCGAATGCCCTTGTACGAAGAGTCGATTGTAAGGAAGGCGGCTTGTGGGAACAATCCAGAGAGCACGCATTTCATCACGCGCTCGCATTTTGCTGTAAAAAATATCATTAATAAAGAAACTTACCAATTATAATACTAATAATAACGCACATACTCCTAGTTAGGGAAACCATGAAATGCGGGTACCACGGACAACCACAAATGACACCCAAACTCACGATAGAAATAGATGTAGACCATACAAATATTTCGACTCATGAACGATGAAGAACAGAGTCCGATGTGATTATATGGCGAAAAGAGAATAATTTCGTTGTTCAAACTAAGGCCTATGTAAACGTGTTTTGAGAATTTATACATCTAATTTCGTTTCGGAAATATAAAATCTTACTTACCAGTGCCTAAGTCCGGCCCCTCAAAGGCTTTATTCACCAACTGGAATTTGCCTTTTATAATTTTTTCTAAACTTTCTCGAATTTCACAAGCCTGAAACAATGTGATTCGATTCATTAAACAAAACCAGATCAAAAATACCAACAATAATCAAAAAAGTGAAAGAAGCAATGGTAGTAATTAAGAGCATGGTGAGTGGATGCCCGTAGTCTCTGCCTACCCAAGTAGGAGACAGGCGTGATGGTAAATATGTTTTTTTATGATACCAAGTGACGAGATAAACAAGTTGCAGCCTGATAGTAAGCGACACGCCTGTCCATAACATAAACTTATGTCTCAAGGTGACAAGCGCAGTGGCAGTGCCCCTCAGATCTTTGCGATATAAAGCTCTGAGTGGCACTGCAACTGTTATGGACAGGCGTGTCCCTTACCATCAGGCGTATGACTTGTTCGTCTCATTACTTGATATAATTAAAAAATAACAATGGCAATGTCTTTCAGAGCTTTAAATCGCAAAGATCTTATGGTCACTGCCACTGCGCCCGTCACCCTGAGACATAAGTTGACAAGTCACATCACCAGCTCCATTACCCTTCAAAACCGGAACGCAATAATGCACACATTAGTACTTGGCGGCAGAAATAGGTAAAGTACTTCCCCGGACGAATTCTTTCTCTAGGAGCGCTACTGCTATTAAAACTACTTCTACATTGACCCCGGGATCGAACCCGGAGCCTTAGAGATAGCAACACCATGAAAACCAGTGTGCAAGCCGCTCTACCACGGAAATCGTCAAAAGGTTCCCTCACCTTCTCCATAACCCGATGGTTGAGGAACATCCTCTGGCACCATTCCTTGCAAGCTTTTTTGGCTCGCCTCTCGTCGTCAGTTGATGAATTAATTTTCAAGTATGCATCCATTATGTTCAGGTACATTATTATGTCGCCTTCTGCTACCTGCAAAATGAAAAGTGGTTTAGTTAGAAATCGTTAATATAAGGCCAGATATTTCAAAGCGGGCCCAGATTTTAGTCGCCTCTCGCGTCCCGCAATCCTCGCGCTGTAAATTAATATGAATAATCTCAGTACAGAGTACTAAAAAACCGCCCTCGAAAGTCATTCATCCCTTAGTAAGCCACCCTTAGAGACTCACTCACTGCTGAAAGTATCTCGAGAGAGAAAAACGCCTAAAACTGGAGCATAGCAAAATCAGCCATTAAAGTAATTGCTCCTTATAAAATTTTGGCGTTATTAATAGAAATAAGTCTTCATGCGTGAATAGCCACCCTTAGAGACGGAATGTTTTCTTCAAATGTAAATGGGACCACTACTGAGGTACCCTCTTTCTAACAAAAAGAGAATCATCAAAATCGGTACACGGTGCAAATACAGTTGAAATGAGAACCTCGTCCTGTTTTTGAAGTCGGTTAATAAAAAGAAGAACAGGCGGAGAAAATTTGACACAGAACCGACGTCGACGGGGCAGCGGGCGGCGCGGTCTGTCGTTAATTCGCTGGGCAATTTGCAAATTTTGGAATAAATGTCAATTTAACAACTAATAGGGCTTCAGTTGAAAAGCAACATTCAGGAGGCTCTCTTTATAGTACTTACATACAATATCTCAAATAACTCGTTTTAGACTATTATGTTAGCCTGTTCTCAGGATTTTATATGATCGGATAAAGTACATCCTATCGTGTAATACGTTAGCACATTCTTAGACAATATCCTTAGGTGTATTATATATTTTCACGTTAAACTTTACTTTACCTCAAAGTTATTCCTTCTTGACACCTTTGCATTGAGGTTATCTTTTCCCCTAGAGGACTTGGCGAACACACTGTCCACTTGCAACATGGCGGCTATTGACAAAGCCTCGTCTATACAACCGAAGTCACCTGAAAATTAGAAAATTTAACTTATTTTTAAAAAACCAAACAGTATTTTAAAGACGCTTTACAACGTACATTGTTCAAAATTGAAAAATTGAAATTCATTAATTTTTTTGTTATATAAAGGCGTTAGAGCTTGCTACCGGTACCACATTTGTGGTAGTCAAATAAATGTATTTTATTTCTTTCTTCTTTCTCTCTTCGTTCAAATCAAAAGATTGGTCAGATGTTATCCAATACCGGAATCAATAGAAAAATGGAAGCTTTTATCTAGCAGTAGGATAAAACAAGCTCATAATAAAAATAATAAATATTTTTTAGTTTACATGATTTTGTCTGTCAAATAAAGCCGATGTAATTTTAATTATTTGAAAACATTTTGTTTATTTTTACTACAATATAAACCTAAACGTTTCATAGTGATGGTTGAAAAGATTTTAACAAAATAACACTGAGGTGATGTTGTGTACTACATCAAAGCATAACTTAGGACAGTATATTATTTAAATGAAAAAATCAAGATAACAGATGTTTGTAAAATTGAGCCACTTACCGCTGTTACATAGCATTTTAGCACACATTGGCTTCAAAGGCAACTCGGCCATGTAAACACCAATGTCATTGGTCAAGTTGCCATCTTTGTCAATTGCCTTCAAGGCGTACAATGTTTCTAGACCGGCGAGAAGGCTTTTCGCGGGCGGTGGAGTAGGGAATGTAAACCTGTAAGTAAGTCTTTGTTCAGGGCAGTGATCATTCTCACAATTTTTTTCTCTTTCCCATAATTTAAAATCAAAATACAGGGTAAAGTTTTAATTATATTAACAGTCCATTTGTTATTAACCGACTTCAAAAAAAGGTTCTCAATTCGACTGTACGTATTTGTTTTATATGTATGTTACTAGATTACTCTATGAATCGAATTTGTGAACCGATTGATTCTTTTTTTGTTGGAAAAGGGGTACCTCAATAGTCGTTCGTTTTAAATTTGAAGAAAATATTCCATCTCTGAGGGTGGCAAAGTAATAGATGGACGACTTCTGATGTCGGTTTTTTTAGTACTCTGTACGGAGATTATTACTTTTTAAATTTGAAACTACAACCAATCATTATCAAGACTTCATAGAGTTTAAAATTATATGTGTAAGTTTTGGCGACAGTGGTTCTGATAGTAATCGAGGCTTGAAGGTACTTCCATTGTTTGTCTTCCGTGGTGAGAGAGGAGCAGACTGACGTTCATAGAAAAACCTCTAAGTCTTCAGTAGTAAGGTTTGTTTTAATTTATCATTGACGATGTATAACATTGTATATGTAACATTGAATAAAGGTGTACTAAATTGATGTTTAAGTATTTAATTGCTATTTTATGTCTAATTTTAATGTAATTAAATATAAATTGTATATTCTCATAATGTACTCGTATTATAAGTAAAATGGTACGTATGCTCACCTTAATAAGTTATGTATTCCAAGAGCTTTCAACTGCAATAATACCCCAGAAAGATCGCTTCGAGCGATTTCTGGAGGCACGCTTGAAGGTAACTTCTCGTATTCAACCTCTGTGTACAATCTGAAAGATGTTACATGTTAGATATTATTATATACATATATATAATTACACCCGCCGTGCTCCCGACCCGAAACGCGTCCGATCCGCATCCGCTCTCAGTGTTTCACGTTTAAATGTTATTGCTTAGTAAATAGAATTCAGGTTAGCTTTAATGTACGTGAAAGCGTGGTAGCTGGACGGTTACCGCGCCCACCGTTTTTTTACAATCCTTGAAGACATTGGGTAGTAATTATTATATCTGTACATCGTGCAATATATAATGTAATTAATGCGATGTACTCAAAAATACTGCGACATAAGATCCTAGATATTGCTATTCCATATGCGAAAATAGGCGCATGTCGCGCTTTATATCACTCTCGCACAAGTGCGCTTTATCGTGCTATCTGGGTTGAAACTTCGGTACCTCTTATCAAATTACAAAGAAATCGTAAATTCGACTCTAGTTTGGCTATGAATTTCGCCAGTCGCAACACGCGGTTCCAGAATATATCGTATATAGATAAAGCAGCGTACGTATTCTAATTAGGCATTAGAATACTCGTATAATAATAATAATTTATTTCGGCCTCCACATCCATAGTGTTAGTAACAAAGTGACTTGAAAATGAGAGTTAGCGAGAACCAGGCGAGCACATTGGAATATTTGTTAATGGGATTGCCCCGTGGAAAGGCTCGAGGCGCCTCCCGCGGAGGTGAAGGTGGTGAAGATGGTGAAGGTGGTGAAGGTGGTGAAGGTGGAGAAGATGGAGAAGATGGTGAAGATGGTGAAGGTGGAGAAGATGGTGAAGGTGGTGAAGGTGGTGAAGGTGGTGAAACAATACGACCGGTAGCACTTCCCCGGCGCGGTCCTGCCCGCGCGGCCGGCGCGCTGCGCGGCGCCGTCGCGGCCCACGGGCGCCACGCGCAGGCTCTCCACGCCCAGCGCCGGCTCGAAACACGGCAGCTTGTGGAAGCCGCAGTCCACCACTGGAAGCGCGCCGACGGTGCACACGTTTCGACCCCTCCTACGTAAAGTGTCGTATGTCGAAGTTGTCAAGTTCGCAGGGGAGCGTGTAAACACGTTACTCGGCAAAGGTGATGTTAGCTTGACGACCACAATTTATTTTATGATTTATAATTATGCGCGTTTCAGTGAATTCCAAACTTCGAAACGGTCCCCTGTAAACTTGGCAATTTCGACATACGACAGTTTACGTAGGAGGGGTCGATTTTATTTTTATTTTTACATATTTTATTTTATAAGTTTACATGACGACGCCTCGCTTTCTAAACTCGTATCTTGTAAATAGTGATCATTCGGAAGATGGCAAAACTTTCTGTTTATTTTAAATTTCTTATTAAAGGGGTCAATTTGGACGCATTACTTTAAAAATAGGTAAAAGCCAAATTGTATAAAAATGCAAAATTTGTATATACAATCAACTCTTTTGCATTTCAGTACCTGTGCTTTTAGCATCGAGTATATAACCAGAAATAGAGACGAAATAAAGGCCATATATTCCTGGTAACACATTAGCGATATGGCTCTTATAAATATCAACTCCCGTTTGCACTGAAATACAGACAGCCCAACTACTAACCGTATATTCCGAAAAATATTCTGTATTTATTGTAATAAAGATATTATCTCTAACAACGACGTGCTGTTCTATTCGGTGGTGTGGTAAAAACAGCAAAACTAATTACAAAACAAACGGAATCACATTTCATCAGTAATTAAATATGTAATTTTGCAATTTTCGTTCATTATAGCACAGCTCAAGTCGACTGGTCAATTTGAAGTAAAACAGTTGACGACGCCCATTGACGCCACCGGTCAATTGTTTCAAATTCGGGCTGGCCAATCGGGGCGCAGTTGTCACCGTAATGATTTGACAGAATAGTTTTCAAACAAATTAAATGACGTTTCGTCTCTATTTCTGGTTATATACTCGATGGCTTTAAGATACGAATTTGAGAAAATAAGGCGAGGTTAAGTCATTTCACATTACTAAAGCTAAAACTGTTATGTTTTAAAATTATACTCCGTAGTAAATTCCAACCACAGCGACGTCTTAACATTATTACTTATTTCAAAACCATTGACTTACAAATAAATGGACGACGGGTCTAATACAAAAACCACGAAAAAAATGTCCCAAGTCAACCTATTCGAAATTTAAATTGTAATGTCATCGCAGTATCGCGCTGTCAGTAGAACAAATGAAGACTAAAGCGGAGTTTGGCGCTCTGTATACGATTTTAGCGCCTTACAAGTGCGAACACTTTTTAGCGCGGACCCGACGTCCATATAATTGTAAGTCAATGTTCAAAACCATATGTTTACTTACACAGCTCTTATATAATATTAATCCTTAGCCAAGTGTGGTCTAATCAATCTAGTACAGATCCTTATTATTTACTGATTCTAATATTTGTACTAACTTCTTTGGTACACTGTTGTAACACACCTGGAAGTACAAATGACCATATTCTCCTACCTTATACATTGTTATAATTTGGAAATTTAAACGTATGATTGCTCTGTAATATTCTTAGTCTTGATAGTCTTTTTTCCTTCTCCAAAAATGGAGAATAAATTAATTTATCATAAGCATTTAAAACTTTACAGCATTAGAATAGTCTATCATAATTATCTTTATATTTACATTTTACTGTCAAAGATACAATTTTCTTTAGCAATCTTATTTGTAAGTCATATACATTTTTAAATATGTTTTGTACGTTCTGCCACAACTAGCTAGACCATAGCCTATTACCGAGTCAGCAATTGACAAATATAACAATCTCAATGTGTTGTAAAGCATCTTACATTTAAGAATACTAATATTTGCCAATATCGCTCCCAGTCTATTACATACGTGGTCTATGCCTAGGTAAGCATGGTCTTTAACAATGTCAAGTGGCTCACAGCAACAGAGAGTGTTTTGAGAGCGCATATATTGGTTACCATGTGCCACAACTGCATTGTTACAGGTTTTTATTAGTCTAGCTACAGTATACTAATCATATTTTACAATTGAAATATAACATACCATAAGAAATTCCCGGTATAGTAATACTAGTTTCAGCGATATTCGTCGCCAACACAACCTTCCGTACGTTGCGATCTCCAACTTGAAACACCTGAAAAATGACAAACTAATCAATAAAGAAGCTTTTTACTCTTATTGCATAGACACAAATGTTTTTAGACCGGTTTCCGGTTACGCTTTAACAAGTGTGTTGACTACCTTATCGTAATCAGCAAAAAGTTAAAGTTGAATTTAAATCTTGACAGTCTATACATAACAGTGAAAGTGTTGGATCAATCTCTGGACATCTTTGGGGGAGGCCTATGTTCAGCAGTGGACGTCTTCCGGCTGATATAATGATGATGATGAAGTGCTGTATTTCATATACATTCAATTCATGTAATAATCCCTGACAAGTGTATTATTTTATATACAGTCATGTAATAGTTCCTATTAGTAATTTTTCTACTTGTTTTCAATTAATATTTAAGTTACATTTTATAATTTTAGTGTTTATCACACTTGTACTTACGTGCCATCTCATTTTGTAAAAGCGGTTCCAACTAAAAACCAGCGTTACAGCAGGCGAGCTGTAACATTATGCTGAGTTGGATGCTTTTCAGGTTTTAGATAGGTATATGTAATAATTAATGTGAATGACCTGTTTAGCTTGAAATATCTTAGCTGAATAGACGTTTCTTTCTCTCTTGCATTTTGAAAAATATACAGTATAATTGAGGACATGCACTAATCACTTTACGGTGTGAAAACACGGTTCCTAAATGTTTGCTTAAAAATATTGTTGCTATAAAAAATTACGCTGTATTCTATAGGTAATTTAAGTATACAAATGATTCTTTTTTGTATTAACTGAACTAAGTAGAATACATATAGTATACGATATACTTTTTCAAACGGCTTTAATTTCTTTTGCAAAAAAAAAATTAATTCTGAAATAAAGCCAGTGTCGCTGTCCCTCGACCCAAGCAAATGAACAGTATTAGTACGGGAAAAAATTTAGGTAGGGTAGTATAGACTGTTAAGTGGTAAAGCCGACCACATACGATTCGAGATCCTGTTTATACATCACACACACATACGTTTATTCCTGTTCGGATTAACAAGACTAAGTTGACAGACGCGAGACCCTGAATCCAGATATTCTCCGAAAATACGTACGGGATTTACGACTGTGTGTTGCAACCTACAAATTCTATAGAACATTTGTATTCGGATCGGCTTTTTCCGTCTTGAATTCTTATGCACAAACGACCATATAAAAAAATTAGAACGGAATAGTACTGTATGTGTGTTGTAAGGCGGTGATCTTTAGTAGCAGTAGAGCTACTTGTAAAACCTTATCTACTTCTGCCGCCAAGCAGTAATGTCAGCATTACTGCGTTCCGATTTTGAAAAGTAAGGGCGCTAAGGAAATTACTATCTATATAAGTCTCAGGGTGTCGGACGCAGTGGCAGTGCTCCTCAGACCATTGCGATTTAAAGCTCTGAGTGGCACTGCAACTGTTATGGACAGTTGCGTGTAGCTTCCTATCAGGCGCACGACTTGTTCGTCCTTTGTTTTGTTGCCTTCGAAATTCCGTGACGGAATTTCGAAACGGGATGCCAATTGTATGTGTCCAGCCTAAAGGGAAACGCCGTTGTCATTCACAATTCTACAAAATGAATACGAGTACCTTAATTTGTCTATAAAAAGGCAGACTGCCGTACATCGGCAGCACCGCCATGTTCGCCGCCTGGACGCCACTGGGGAATTGCTTACGATATTTATTTTTTTCGTTGTTTTGCTCTGCGTAGGTTTGGAGTGTATCTAGAGCTGTTAGGATTTCTTCCTGAAAGTTGAAAAGATATATAAAGGTAAATAAATAACCACCGTCATCAACTATAAAAAAGAAGTCAGTGTCAAGTGCAGAAAGGTTTGTAATTACTACAATGTATATTATAACTCCCCGTTTAGCGTCAGAGGTTAAAAAAATCATTTGCAGACTACTAAACATAATTTAATCGCGATTACAATGATTAGGGTCAATTTTCATAAAAATAATAATTATAAAACAGTATATGATAATATTTTTTAATAAAGTTAAACCGTAGCAGTAGAGTTCCTTCTGAAAGAATTCGTTCAGGGAAGTACTGCCACCTTATCTACTACTGCCGCCATGCAGTTGTACTGCGTTCAGGTTTGGAAAGGTAAGGGTGCTGGTGAAATTACAGACTGAGACTGAAACTTTTCAACTTATGTCTCAGGGTGACGGGCACAGTGGTAGTGCCCTTTGAGCGGCACTGCAACTGTTATGGACAGGCGTGACGCTTACCTCCAGGCGCATTACTCGTTTGTCCTGTCACTTGGTCTCATAAAAAAAACATGCTGTATGGTGCTATTATCGCTGTCCACAAACGAAGAAAAGAAAAAGACAAAGATTATAGTTATTTAGCAATTTGTCATTTTAAAATTCGGACACAATAAGTGTAACTTTTTATGCAACGACCTCAGTGGCCTAATTTTTTGCACTGTAGGCGAAGGATGGGGAGGTCCCATGTACGATACCTGGGTCAATTTAGGAAATGAAGTTTCTAAATTGGTACCGTCATCAGGCACCTTATTATTATTATTTTAGTTATTATTTATTATTAGATTTAAAAATGTATAGGGTAATTCACTCAAGTCGAGAGTTACTGTATTTACAATGTGACCTAAATACCATTAATGATTGGTTTGTTGAAAATTGGATGGTGCTAAATTCTTCCAAATGTGTCTTTATGGATTTTTCCATCGCAGGGATCTAGCAGAGGTCTTTAGCATGCGTGATCTTGGTGTTATTGTGGACGTCAAGCTAGATTTTAGAAAACACATAAACTTTGTGTCAAGGCAACCCAAATTCTTTAGAGACCACGAAGTTTCTTTTATACTTTTTAATTGTTATGTACGTAGTATATAAAAGTAGTGTAGCCCCGTCTGGAGACCATCATACAAGGTATACATCGAACGGTTAGAGAGGATACAAGATAGGTTCCTATATCATCTTTGTTACTCAAACAACGTTAGTCACGTATGACCCTAGATTAGCCCATTTTGAAATGGTTTCACTACAGAAAAGTAATACAAACGACGTTATATTTCTGAAGAAACTAACAAATGGACACAACGACAATTCTTTATTAATGCAGAAAATTAAATTCAACATTCCTCGTCTTTCTAGCGGTCTCGTAAATAGAAGAACATTCAGTCTTCCACATACTCATACTAATTATGGTCAAAATTCATGTTCATATCGTATCTGTTCATCATATAATCGTACTTGTCTGGATATAGATATGTTCAACACCTTAGTCTCTACTTTTAGGAGATTACTGTTATCCCTATGTTTTGTAAAGTCAAAACTATTCTGTTTTGTTTTGTAATAATTGTTTTTAGATAGTACCTAGCAACAGTTTTAAAACTTTATTTTTCTAGAGACCAAAAATTACTTTAGCATGCTGTGTTCACACCGAGAAGGATGTGCACGCTCCAACTCGTTTAAATGACTTTGTTTGTTGTTTATTTTTATGTAATTATTTAGTATGTACGTACATACATTCAATTCTGTGAACCAAACAAAGAAAAATGTTGGTCATCTAGTAGAGTAAATTCTTTTAACTCATAGCCCCACACTGGGGAAACCCTGTAACGCGGGTGCCATGGATACACGTATAAACAACCTCAAATTACACCCAAACTCACGAGAGAAATAAATGTAGGTCATACAAATATTTCTCCGGGCCCCGAGAACCGAACCCGGGACCTCTGAGTGGCAGTCCAGCATGATAACCGTTCGGTCACGGAGGCATTTTCTTCTCGTATCAGAGTTAACGCTTTAACGAAATGCTTCAGGTGATTCTTAAAAATGATCCAGTTTTGTTATTAGTTAAAAATGGGGTTTGAAAAAGGTCGACTGCCACTTGCTAGCTGTGATACCAGAAATACCAGGAGAACAATAAAACATTTTATACCTGAAACTGGTTACAATCGTTTAATACTTTCGTCTAATTAGTTTTACCATGTATGAAACTTACCTGGGAAGTAAGGAAAACCAGTATATCTCCAAAGGGCTCATTTTCGTGAACCTTGATCACAGTATCCACTGCTGCCTTCACGTAATCCGGAACAGGCTCTGTCAAAATCAACAGACAATTATAATTAAAAGCGTGTAGTTTCTTCGATTTGATATCAGCCTGACACCCGCAAATTGACAAGCCATCCAGGGATGTAATGTAATTCTTACTCATCATCATTTCAGCAGAAAGACGTCTACTGCTGGACAAGTAGTCATAGTACACATTTTAGTAGTAGAGCTCCCTGTGAAAGAGTTCGTCCAGGATAATACTGCCACCTTACCTATTTCAAGCAGCAATGTCAGCATTACTGTGTTCCAGTTTTGAAGGGTGCTGGTGAAATTACAGGCACATGGGACTTGTCAACTTATATCTCAGATCTTTGTGATTCAAAGTTCTGAGTGGCGCTGCTACTGTTGATGATGAACAGGCATGTAGCTTACCATCAGGCGCATGACTTGTTCGTACCATCACTTGATATTATAAAAAATAGCCCCAAAAGATCGCCATAATGATCGCTCTTGCGTGGCTTGCGTGCAGCAGATTCCTGCAATCTTCTCCAGTCTACCTGCGAGCAATATGCACTTCAAATTTGCGAATCTTTGGGCAATGTCGGTTACTCTGGTTCTTCTGAGGATATCCTTATTTCTGATTTGATCTCGCAGTATAACTCCGAGCATAGCACTGCCCATTGCTGTTTGGGTGACCTTGAGCCTTTTTATTGAGGCCCATAGGACATACCACGATGGCCAGAAGCTGAGTTTTCACGATTGTATTGAAAAATAAACCATTTTTACGGATCCGACTCAACGTGTCGTTCTCTTTACTGGTCCCATGGATGGTCTAGCTGGTCCCACTTTCTTCCACGTGCAGTGTTCAGCACGATGTTTTCCTTCAACGTGAGGGTATTGCTACTAAACTTGGAAATTAAAGTCATAGGATTGGAAGCCACAGTTTTCCAATTGCACTACCACGATTCTTATCGATCTTAATACCATAAAGGGCAAGTCACCTTCAGTATAAAACACGTCAATCGGGTGGGCCCGTCCCTGCATGGACATGATGACAGATGTGCTGGAGCGTTCTCTTTCTCGTGAATCGTTCAGGTTGAAGAAGTCTCGGAGAAACTCCGCGTCCATAGTCGCCGACGATATGACCAGTTTAAGGTTTTTGCGTTTCTGAAACACGTTAATTTAGAAAAATAACTTCTTCGTTTTGTATAATTATCAGAAATTGGTTTGGGCAAAGTCTATTTATCTAAATTTGAAGTGGATATTTAATTCATTATTGGAAGAGGTTCACAAGTCGATTTTTTTAAAGCTCTACAATAACGGAACGCTCCGATACCCATAAAAACACAATTTCTGAGTTCTGTATTGTCGTCGAGACCCGGAAATTCTTAAAGTGGAATACAAAAATAACGATGTTAAAATGAGCTTACTTTAATGATTTTTTTAAGCAGTCCCATTAACACGTCAGTCATCTGAGATCTTTCGTGCACCTGTAACGTGAAAAAAAAAATTACATAATATTATATTTTAGTTAATTGAATATCATGATATTACTGAGTTATTTTTTTGTGAAATAACTCTACTAGAATTGTTATGACTATTGAAGACAGATTTTTTTTGTGAGAAAGTTTTTCAAAAACCTCTCACTAGATGGTACAAAGATCTGTAACAAAAACAGAATTTCAACAGCTCAGTAACTTGACCTGTAGCTCAGCTGGTAAGAGCAATGCTACGGTGCAGCATGTGGATTCAACTGTCACCAGGTCGAAGAGTTTTTCTACGTGTTCGATCTTTGTATTAATAAGTATAACATAATATCATGACGTTTTATACTACCATGACATTCATCTACTTTTTCTGAAACTTCATGCGTTACTTACGGTAAAGAAATGGCATACACTATCGGCACCTGTTTCCCTAAATCTATAATTTGGCAGAATCGAGTATATAACCCGAAATAGAGACGAAATGTCATTTAATTTGTTCGAAAACTATTCTGCCATATCATTACGGTGACAGCTGCGCTCGGATTGGCCAGTTCGAATTCGAAACAATTGACGGGTGTCGTCAATTGTTTCACTTCAAATCTACCAGTTTAACTTGAGCTTTGGGGTGATGGACAAAAATTTAAAAATTACATAATTTAATATTTAATTACCGATGAAATGTGATTCCATTTGTTTTGTTATTAGATGTTTTGCTATTTTTCCTACACCACCGAATGGAACAGCCGCCCCATAGTTAGGAGATATTATCTTTATTACAATAAATACAGAATATTTTTGGAATATGCAGAGACGTGCACACAGGTCAGTTGTTGGCACTGTACTATTTCAGCTTTCTAATTTGTGATTTCAGTGCAAACGAGAGTTGATATTTAAAAGTGATATAAGGCCCATTTGCCTGATAAGTTGCCAAGGAAGGATGGTCCTTATTTCGACTCTATTTCTGGTTACATCTATATTTGGCGGCTATTTAAGAGCAGAGTGAATAAGCAATTTTTAGATAAATGTGCATTATTGACTCGGTCACATCGTCACTAACATCATAATCATGGATTGTAACCGAGCATACATACGTCCAATGCCGACTCAACACGACTGTATTTTTTTTGTGCGTATATAAACCGATTTTGATGTTTCTTTTTTGTTGGAAAAAGGATACAGTGCTTCTACTTTTTCAGTGTCTCTCGGCAATCATCGGATTTCCGAATGCACACGAATATTAATTTCCATGTCCATCTTGTGAGGATGCTCATTACGATGCGATCTTTGTGAGGATCAATTCAAATTTAATATTTATTTCAATGCGATTTTCAAACGAATAGATTCAACGGAAAGGCAGGTAATTAATTTTGTAAAAATGTCATTAAATTTGAAGAAAACTAGTCTTATAATGTGAATGTGAGCATTACTATGTTATGGTTTTGAAGGGTACGGGTGCTGGTGAAGTTAGTCATATGGGACTTGTCAACTTATGTGTCAGGGTGACGGGCGCAGTGGCAGTGTCCCTAAGATCTTTGCAATTTAAAGCTCTGAGTGGAACTACAACGGCTATGGACAGACGTGTCGCTTAACACCAGTCGCACAACGTGTCCGTCCTTGGTATCAAAAAAAATTCGTTGTAAATAGTTTTTTCCTTCGATTTTGAGCGTCAATAGGTTTTAACTCGATTTTTGTTACAATAATTTTAAAACGAATACATGGAGACTTCATAATCTCAGTACAGAGTACTAAAAAGACCGACTTCAAAAGTTCGTGGAATTATATCTGTTTGCCAAGTTTTATTGAAACGGTTACCGCGATTCATCTCCTAGTTTACCACCCTTAGAGGTGTAATATGTACTTCAATTTAAATGGGACTAATATTGAGGTACTCTCTTTCTAACAAAAAAAGAATCATCAAACTCGGTTCACAAATTATCGCGAGTTATCGCGAAACAAACAAAAAACAGTCAAATTAAGAACCTCTTCCTTTTTTGACGTCGGTTAAAAAGGAATTCATATGTGTGTTTTCCGGAGCAAAGTGCGAATAATTAATCAGTATCTGCTTTGATTATTTTAATAACTACGCAACAATCGGTTTTATCGATAGTGGATGAAAGATAGCGTAATGGCCGTTTCCGTCATTATATTGTGATTGTACAATTAATTAAATAATTAGTGATTTTATAATTATTAATACAAAGATCGAACACTTAGAAAACCATCCTTCGATCCGGCCGCATTCGAACCGACGTCTTCTAGCAAACCGTGCCAGACCCTATATTAGCCAACTAAACCATGGAACGAACTACGGACCTCGCGAATTCTTCTATGTGCTAGTTGCCGGATCTTTTGTATTAGGTTTTCAACGACTTTTTAGCCGTAGCTCCATTTATGAGAAATTTATGAATGTATTTCGTCACTCAGTTAGGTAACTTTACAGCTACCAGCCCTGGCTAGAGATGTCGCTATTAATTGTAATGAAATTTGTATTGAATTGATATTCAATTATTATTTGTGAAATTGCTCCACTAGTTTGTTAGATCGAACACTTAGAAATTAATGACATTGTTTCGTTTTTTTAGTTTGAAATTTGACATTAAGTCCTGCGCCTGGTGGTAACAGCAGCAGATCTTTAGATCGCAAATATGACGGGCAGTACCACTGCACCCGTCATCCTGAGGCATAAGAAGAAAGTTTATTTGAAAAGAGAAATCTAAAAACGGTCAACGGGCAGTATAAATTCATCAGCCCCCTTCAAAACCGGAACGAAGTAATGTTCACGTTACTGCTTGGCGACAGAAATAGGTAATGTGCGAACTCTATAGTAAGAAGCTTTTCTGCTACTGCTACGGAACCACTTTGTATTGCTTGGTTATACAGAAATGACGTGTACCAGTTAAAAAAATGTTTGATCAAACGAACTTTTTTTACACACTTCTAGCCCCGCGATAAGGATACCCTGTATCACAAGTGTCATGGACACAATACAACCACAAATTCCCGAGAGAAATAAATGTAGGCGATACAAATATTTCTCCCGGCCCGGGAATTGAACCCGGAACCTCGGCGTGGCAGACCAGCATAGCAACCATTCATCCATAGAGATTGTTAATTGAAAACAATGCAAGGTTGCTCGACTTGTGAGTCGGGGAGTGTAAGTATTTGTTTTGAATTAGACGTCAAAAAAAAAGAAGGATATTCTCTATTCGACTGTGTTTTTTTTTGTGTGTATGTTACGCCGATTTCGATGATTCTGTTTTCGTTAGAAAGGGGGTACCTTAATAGTAGTCCCATTCAATTTTGAAAAAATACTGCACCTCTAAGGGTGGTAAATTAGGGGATGAATTCGGTTTATTGGATTACACCCGCTTTCGCGAAAACAAAAAACAATATAAAAAGTCATATTTTTTTATAATAATACCAAATCACGGTACAAACAAGTCGTGCGCCTGATGGTAAGCGACACGCCTGTCCATAATAATTGCAGTGCTACTCAGATTTGAGGGACACTGCCACTGCGCCCGTCATAGAAGTTGACAAGACTCGTGCGCCTGTAATTTCACCAGTAGCGGAACACAGTAATGCTGACATTACTGCTTGGCGGCAGAAATAGGAAAGGTGGCGGTACTTCCCTGGACAAACTCTTTCACAAGAAGCGCTACTGCTACTAATTCAATATTAATATGTATATACATATATATTATTAATGATATAATGCATAATTTATTAAACTCTTTACAGTTAGTTACAGTTTAGTGACCAAGGGTCACATAAAGAGTACCATTGCGTTGTTTCCTAAATAAAAGTTGTCAATTACAATGATAGGAGTAATTTGTTACCAGGTTTCCGGTTGATATAACATAACCCTATGTGCAGCTGGGTGTAATGACCTCGCCGATGGATCGTGAACACTACAAACGCACACGTTTCCTGCATACATTTAGCATAAAGAACACTTAAAGCGCGATTGTGTTTCTTTATTACCACAATCGTTAACCTACGAGCTGCAACTGCGTAATGTGATAACACTGCACGGTGTTGAATTACCTTTATAACTAAGATATGTGTCGACACTTGCTGAAAACATTACACTGTATTAATTTACTTATTGAATTGATTTAATTTTTTTTTTTGAGAAATTACTCCACTAGTTTGTTATAATTATTAATACAAAGATTTATAGACATATTTTAGATACCACTTAGAAAAAAATCCTTCGTTCCGGCCGGATTCGAACCATTGTCTTCTAGCAAACTGTGCAAACTAAGCCACGGAACGGAAATTTTTCTATGTGCTTGCTGTCGTAACTTTGTATTTGGTTTTTCAACAAATTTTTATTGAATTGATTTTCAATTTTTTTTTTTCGTGAGTTTACTCCACTATTACGCTGTATTATTATCATTAATTAACATTACAGGTACCCAAACTTCAAGTAATACAACATGGAGCGTATAATATCTCCTACGGAATTTACAGAACGATTCAAAGTAAAACACAAAAAAGCACAACAGCAATCTAAATACACTTATGCAGAATTGTTTTATTGTAGATGGATGAAATATATATTCATATATAGTAAATAATATACATAGATATGGCCACGTAATGCGTAGGAGTGATAGCCATATGACCAAAAAAATCTTATCACTAAAAATTTAAGCCGCTAAGAGACGAACAAGCAGACCCCAATAGGAAGTGGTCTCACTTGGATTGGAACGGTCCAAAGAAACATGAAGGCGATGGGTGTAGACCCTCAGCTCACGCAAAGGCGCACGGAGTGGCGCACGCGGTCTATGAGGGCCGACCCCAAAAGAAATGGGACATAAGTCCAATAGTAAATTAATGTAATGTCTAATTCCTAGAACATAATAAATCGACACAGCAATTAACACTACACTAACTTAAAAACTGCAACTTTTCTACCTAAAAGGGAAACGTGCGATAACTTTTTAATTTTCCAACATAATATTATTGAGTTTTTTACTACCAGTTATTTTCTTCAATTTGAATTTAATCAAAATTGCTTGAACAATTTGGTACCTTGGTTTAATTTGGCGTAGCAGCGTAGCGTTAACTGCGGGTGTCGAAATAGTAACGTATGTGATCACTAGATGGCATTGTCACTTTGACACATCACGTGATTGGCGATGAATACACTGGTTTGTTCGTTTAATTCTTAGACTCTTTTTTTTACCATCCTCTAACGTTTAATTGTATATTAATAGTAATTTTTATTTTATTTTTGAAATTTATTGACTGCGTTCTTTGTATTCTCCTGTAATCACTTTTTGGCTTGCTAAGCACTTTATATTGTTTCATGTTGGTGGAAATTCGTAAATGGCATTGGATTACTCATAATTAAGTTTACTATAATTGTATTATTTGTCCGTGAATTTTCCTAAAATGTATAAATAAATAAATAAATAAATAAATTGTATTGAAAAGAGTAATGTTGGTGATAAAAAGATAACGCTATTTACAATTGCATAATTACCTTGAAATTAAACTTGACTTGAAAAAACGCTAATTACCTTGAAACTGCAATACTTGTTGAATTCCAAGGAAGTGTTGACAACCAAATGTGGGATTGTTTTATTGTAAATCGTTAAAACAAATTATTTACACGTAGTAAATTAATGTAATGTATGTACGATTTTAAGCTGGGTCAATGTTTACCTTTTTCTGCCGCCTAGCATAATATGATATCATCGCACTGTTGGGCACAGGTCTTCTGTAAAGAGAATTTTGCCCATGGATCATCGAGGCTAGCTAGACACGTTAGTTGCCCTAACATTGGGCACGGGTCTCCTCTAGGGAGAGAATGTAACTAAACTGGCAGGAATCGAACGATGGACCTTCTACATAGAAACTTCGTTCTCCCAACCAGGCAACGTCACCACTGGTTCACAAAATAAATGAAAGACATACCTCATCGAGAACTATGCAGGAATACTGCATGAGAAGCGGTGAAGCGAACATCTCCCGAAGCAGCACGCCCTCTGTCATGAACTGGAACAAAACCACAAATAAACGTTATTAGTTTGCGATGGTAGCCCAGTTGTAGCAAGGTTGCATCTCTATTGATGGTCGACGGTACGAATCCCTGAGCCGGCATGAAGTTCAGTAGCAACCAGCTCTTGGTAAAATAAAACATCCATAGTGATGCCTGCATGTGGAGCCGCGTGTTGGTAGAGCAACAGGGACACTGGCTTTATTCCAGAATATATTTTTTTAGAAACGAAATTCTAGACATTTGTGAAATGTATATCGTATACTATATATGTTCTATTTAGTTCAGTTGATATAAAAAATCATTGGTATATGTAAAGTACATAATGAATACAGCTGTTTTCTTGTAATATTTCGAGGTCAGGTAATCGGGTAATTAAATTGAGGTCTCAAATGGATAACCTGCTGAAACCACTTTTCACCCGCTCAGGGTTTTTTAAAGACTCCTTTCCTGTTACGGCTGCACAGTTATGGAACAAATCCGACATTCTAAATCGCTTCCTATATTAAAACTGGATTGCGTAAACATCTTCTGACGATTCTTAGTCTGCAACTTAATCTGTATAGTCAGTAGTATGTAGACGTTTTCAAGTATAAATATGTGTATATATATACATACTTATACGTGTAAATAAATATACACTCTTATGCACTAATACTAACTAAAACTAAACTAAAA